AAAAATATATATATATATTTTTTTTTTAAATGTTATCTCATGTTACCTTATATTTGACTATACTCTCAGAATTAATAATAATATCGAAGTAATTAACAAAATTTAAATCTAACTTACCACACTTCCCACAACATGGTGCAAACAGAACATGAAAATCATGCTCACAATATTTGTATCCTTCAAATTCATAGAAGATTCCATCTGGAAATGGCCGGAAACATTGCGCGCATCTATCAAAAGATAGATATTAAGGATATTAACTCATGTGATAAAAATCCATAAGATAGTACATTTTTATAGCTATTTTTGTTTTACAGAAAGTAGCGAAGAAATTAATATTGGAGCATGCAACTTGTAAAAATTGTGGCTTCTCCACAAATGTTACGTAATTTATGAAAATTGAATCGAATAGAAATATTATATAATAGGTATGTACAAAATCACATTAAAAAATTGCGGAAATTCAATAATTATTTTGTGATACATGGGCAAAATGAAATGAATTAAACACTACTATTCCGTAAAAGAAATGTCATTTATATTAACACAGATCATAGGAACAATAATATAAATTTAACTTATAGAAAAAGTCGAATATTAGAAAAAGTAAAAAATGTGGCACGATTAATTGCATTCAATGATACATTTTCAAATCTCGTTACAGGCAGTTATTTCCATAAAAAAAATCATTTTAAATTCTTTGAAAATAAAGTTATAATTACTAGAGTTAAAAACTGTATTTAATACTTTCTAAAAATACCTCGATTGTGTAAATTCAAATACCACCATTTTGAAAACTTATATATAAAATTAGACAAATTGCTGATTTTTTTGTCACATCTATATAAGTTTATGTATATTCTTTTCATACTATGTGCTAATAAAAGTAATGGATTTTTTCTGCAGTATTTAATTTGTTTTCGTCTATTTATTCAGATATAAAATACACGTAATAGCTATTTATTTTCAGTTCCTTTCTGCCTGTAAGCAAACTGTCCACAGTATGATAATAAATTTATAGCAGATTTGCTTAGAGCTAATATCTAATTATTGCAACAGATCCAGTATATCATCTATACCTATATATATAATACAATATATTTTTTGCTAGCTGCTTTCTTTTTAGAAAACACAATTGACATCATATTATTCTTCTTGACATTCAAAAAAAAAAAAAAAAACATTTGTATCGACTGTGGCATCTAAAAAGAAAGCAGCCAAGGTAAAGTAATAATTAAATAAAATCTGTAAACATCATAAACATTTAAATGGAATACAAATACATCATTTAAAATGATTATGAAACAGCAGATTCTGCTCAGCTTCTGTAATCAATCTATCATTATATTCTTTTACCAGATTCTGTTAGATTTTTGTTGATATTCTATTAACATTTCTAGTAGACACTTTCAAAACCTATGTTTGACAGGTTTTTGTTGACTATCCAAGTCAATTGTTATCCCAATACATACTTACACAAAACACTGCGGATGCCACAATTCACCATTTGAATTAACAATTTTCTCATGCGCAACAAAACCTTCTCTACACCGAGAACAAAACATATGATCCAACGACATCTCTGTAACCCTGTAACACATAAATATTTTAATAAATATTTTAACATAACGGTTTAATAATTGTCTTAATTTTAAATTTATAGTTAATTAATCATTATATAATGAAAGCGTGGGTAAGAATTCTGTATATTACTCAAGTCTGATTTCGATGAAATTTTATAAATGTGTAGTACTAATTAAATGTTTTTCCTACTTCTAAATATTACTATATTAGAAGATCAATTACGCAAAACTTGAATTTAATCGATAACATGTTTAAATTGTTCGCATTCCTGCTAAAATGATTCCATGTAAAAATGAACTCATAAAGCAAAAATCTTAAGGTGACAATTTTATGAAATTAAAAAGTAATTTTTTGACATATTAAAAATACAAATATTAAAAATAATTTAAAATTTTACCTTCTTTTAAATATCGATAATACAAAATATTAAAAAATTGATAATATAAAATTTAAATATTAATAATATAAAATAAAAAAAATAAAATATTCTATTTTTTATTTTTTTTTTATAATGGTATTTTGTCAACATTGTACAATTTTACATAAAATGTAGTCAACAGAATAGTATTTAATTATAATTAATTTTTCATGTAAAATTTTAGAAAACATTAATTGAATTGATTAAATAAAAGGAAGATAGAAATGTTCGCTACTGCTCAAATATCGTTTTATATCTATGTTTTCTTATGTAATTATATTTTTCATTATAACTAACAAAATTTGTCCCACATCTCAGTACATCTCAGTTTCCCCTACTCCAGGCATCGCGCGTCTGAAGTGTGGGAAAAACAGAGACAAATGTTATAATGAAAAATATAATCTAATTAACGTTTTGTGATGCAACATTATTTACATTTGATTCAATAGAATTAATTTAATTTCATAAATGAATTATTAAAGCATAAGACAGTGGTTTTATAACGAATATATGTGAATAAGGATTTTATGTACTTCATTTCAATGTATGAATTTTTCCTTAAATCTAGCGTTGTTATAATGACTATTTTCAGTCTTTACGAAGAAAAATACATAAGGAAACATAGAAATAACAAATTTCGAACAGTAGCAAAATCCTTGAAAATTTCAACTCTTTAAATATTTTAAAAATTAAGCATTTCCACAATTCTGCATTTATGAATTTGATTACATTAGTCCATTTGTTCTTTTTCGGAAGATTCTGAACTAGTTCTGAACTAGTGCAATATGTTAGAGAGAGAGAGAGAGAGAGAGAGAGAGAGAGAGAGAGAGAGAGAGAAACTACACCTGTCCCACTCTAACTTACTGTCAGTGTACATCAGTTCAGAATTTGGTGTAGAAAAAGAACAGGCCTAGTATTACATATCTGCAAAACTTGATTGAAATTAAACTTGAGTAGTGTATAGAAGTTGAGCCGAAGCGTGTTGTAAATATGTATAATCATGTTAATTCTATAAATTTATTTGAATAGTGTAAACAATTAGCCCAGGTAGCAATGTCTGTCTCGTTGCTGGCATGTTGTTTGCTAAATACACATTGCTATCAAAATTGCAGCAACTGTTGTAAGTTCCCAACTTGTTGGGAACTTAAAAATCGTCTTAATGCCTTGCGTAGCAACTTGTCAGTAATTTGACAACTTAAAAATCGTCATTATTAAAATTCATATTACTGTCGTCATGTTGCCGTAATAATATACAGCATCACATAATACTGTTATATTGCCGACATTGATTGAAGGTAACAACATTGATGTATGATGATTATCTTGCACCGTTAAACTATTGACAATACATATACCACCTTGATCAAAAAGTTCCCGGAATTATCACCAGGTGATGCTCTGAGTCAGCTGATTTGAGTTCTGTTTTTTTGATTAAAGTTGATTTAAGTTGCCACATTTATCATTGACATACCCACCAAATTTTATCACCATAGCTTGACATTTGTAAAAGTTACGCCGTCTTGAGTACATCTACCTCTGCACGTATTTTCGATTTTTTACAGTTTTAAAAATGGAGTTGAATTTGCAACGAGTTTTTATTAAATTTTGTGTTAAAAATGGATTCAATGGTGTGAAAACCTTGGAAACGTTGGGAAACTGATTTTTTTCTGTTCGATCGAATCAAAAAAACCATTACGGGGAACGCGTTTTAACAGCCGAAAGGAGATAATGGAAAAATCGAAGACGGCTTTGATGGCTATACCGACAATAGAGTTCCAGAAATGTTTCAAGAGTTGGATCAAGCGCTGGCATAAGTGCGTTGCAGTCGATGGGGAGTACTTGGAATATCACTTTTGATGAATAAAACTATATTTTGAATTTTCTGAATGAATTCCGGGAACTTTTTGATCAAAGTAGGTATACATTGTTGTCTGCACGTTGCTACAATAACTGCATATATTCGAAATATACAGATCATTGAAGACAATTAATATTACCTATTATGCAAGTTGCTAGCATCATAAGCAATCACAGATTTGTGCGATGTTGCCGAGACGATTTGCTATCTGGATATTTGCACACATTTCGTATGTTATCAGGAAAACAGGAGATAATTTCTGTTACATACAGTTGCGTCCTATATACTTATGCAAAAAAATTAACATTTTTCAAAGAGAGAAGATGCTTACCCTGGCATATTTTAATGGAAGAAGACGATTACGTTTTAACGTTGACAAACACTTCTAGCTATCTTGTTTTTTTACTCGCCTACAATCAATTTGCTTTACACAATAATCTCTATTATTGTAACACTATTAAAAACGCGTTAAAACAAATAATATATATAGATTCATAGAAATATTGTACATTTGATATACGCTATTCAATAATGGATTTGTTTTTTTTTATTGGTGCATAAAACTACAGTATACAACTTTACTTTTCACTTCCGTTAAATTTTAAACATGTTGTATTTACTTATTTTGGTAATTATGAAGGAGACAGGCTTATACTCACCGATTTTGATAAAATTAGACACATTCGACGCGTTTTTGCACAAAATGAACGAATCTGATAGAAAAAAAGTGTCGCTTTGCTCCGCGAACCGAGATATTACGCAAAGTTCAGATTCAGGTTACATTCAAGAAAAACTGTCATATCGACGATATAGAGGATTACACAAATTCTCAGTTTTACAATCACAAATTCTCTACTTTAAAAATAAATTCTTTGCTTTAAAAACACAAATTATTTTCTATATAAAACTTTCATTTTTACAGTTGATGAGAACTTGTTTTTAAAGCAGAAAATACTTAAGCTAGCTTTACTTACACATTCTTATGTCCTATACTATCGATGTGACAGATTTTTCAAACTCAATAGTCATCAACTTTAATACACCTCGGTCCACAGAGCAGAGAGCAGCACTTCTTTTTGCCAGATTCATAGAAAAATTTCGTACAAAAATACGTCAAATGAGCCTAATTTCATCGAAATCGATGAAAATCAGTAAGCTTGTCTCCGTCATTCATAATTACCTTGACCATTAGGTTAAATTTAAGTTAACACACAAGTTAACCAAAAACTGGAAAACTGGGCCATTCTCTCACTTTGCTATTTATCGATTTTTAATGTACATTATAAATAATATTAATATTTGACTATAATTTTTGCTGAATCAACTAACTATTAATCAACTATGAAATACCTGATAACGCAAATATTTACCAAATTAATTACGAATAGTACAATGAGGCTAAAGCACTACCTATTACCTATCACATAGCAGATATATCCTGTCAATTACCTATATTCCGTATTAATCTTATCAGATTTTAAGTAAACAGCCAATCCGATCTCAGCGAACGTGATATGACCTTTTATGAAAATGAATATGGATTAAAAGTTGTCTAACCTAACCTAATCTAACCTAACCTAATCTATAGTAATTAGTCACCACCACCACTCCCTTTAGGCCCTGTGCACAATGAAAAAGAAATATTAGGATTACGTTTCAAACTTCCTCTCTGAGGAAAATTTTACTCGAAATATATAGTATATGTAAAGCCAGTTCTACATTAGTTGTAAGCTGATCGCAAGTTTATTGCGATATCCAATCTGAAGCTTGCATTGAAATCAACGCTTCATATTGGCTGTCACAATAAACTTGCGATTAGTTTGCAACTAATGTAGAAACGGATTAACGTATACAATAGCACATAAGATCTGTTTTTTATAGTTGCACTCTGAATAAGTGTAATAAGTTAAAGTGAAACAAATGTATTTTTTTGTTTTACTTCAACTCATTGCACTGTGTGTACTAGTTCAGAAAGTGCAGTAATAAAAACAGACCTATAGAATAAAATCTTTCTCGGAGAGGAAGTTTTGGAACGTAGCCTAGATAATTACAGGAATCGCGCAAACCGTGCCGCTTGCTTCTCTTCTCCTCTATTAAGCCTTGCATTAGTTGCAAGCCTTGCATTAGTTTTGCATTAGTTGCAAGCCGATTGCAAGTTGCGACAATCGGTCAATATGAAGCATTGATTTCAAAATGCAAGTTTCAGATGGCTGTTTCTGATTGGCTAATGCAGAACCGGTTTTATAGTGCCTCACCAAAACCTGTAATCGCAAAATGCTTACGGGATATATTCCCAATAAAGAAATATTCGTTCTTAATAAAAAAAACGATTAGTATCAGAAATTTTATTTTAATAGTGCTATACATGTGCCTTATAACGAACATAAAATCGTAAAAAAAAAGAATAATTAAACGAAGTGTAATTAGAAACCGGATAGGTTTTTTTCTTTCTCAGCCAAGTTTGCCAACATGAGTGCTAGTTATGGTGTGTTCGAGAACGCCACATGTTGCCGCGCACTATCGCCCTTTGAAGAAGTGAATGTTAATTACACAATAATATCCATTTTTTTGCGGTGCTCCTGATGGAAATAGAAAAAAATTGAAATCGCTAAAATAATTAAAATCTATTAAATTAATAAAGATTTCAACGATTTCAACGATTTATTTCCATCAGGACATTCACTTCTTTAGAGAATAGTGCGTGGTAACGTTTTGCGATTAGGCCCGTGTCTTCTACATAAACTTATAAATCTATGATCTTCTCTCAGGTCTCAAATTTCTCTCGGCTCAATTCAGTTCGCACTGTTTACTGTTCGCATGGAGAGCTAGTGGGTGTTGAAAAACCAAATAAGGAATTTATTAAGAAAAAGATTTTATTCGTTACATAAATAAAAGACTAGCCGTGTTACATACATTAGGAAACTTGATGTTAAAAAATAATAGAAATTACAGAATTGCTGTTATACTTTTTTAGTAACGATGAGGTAAGGTTAGATTACTATTAAAATATTTTCTCCATTCACATGATGTTGCAAAAAGTTTTGATAATTGTTTAGATAAACTACCTCACCTCCGATCTCGATGAAAATGGGCTCATTCAACGCGCTTTTGCACAAAATGAAAGAATTTGGCAGAGAAAAAAGTGCGAGACTGCTCTGCGAAGTCAGATATTTAGTTAGACTTAAGTTAAAGTGATGATTATTCAGGTTAGAAAGTCATAAGATCTGTCATAAGGTCTGTTCGCATTGCTTGCATTTTTGGCATTCGACATCTTCACTTTCTCTCTTTTTAAGGCAAAATATGCATCTATCTCATTTTAAGTGCAAAAATATTTGGAGATTTCATGCGAACAGACCTACAATCATGCAACGATGCAGCAGTGCAATGTGAGCATGAAAATTGATGAAAAGTCGTGTGCATACGTTGCTCATTTTGCACTGTTTCATTTTGACAGATTTCCTAACCTGAATAGTCGTCAACTTTAATAACAATTAATATCTCAGTTTGCAGGGTAGAACAACTCTTTTTGTCAGATTCATTTGTGCAAAAATGAATGAGCCTAATTTTATCAACATTGAATTGAGGAGACTAAACTCAACAATTATCACTCTCTGTTTTAAAAACAAACTATTTTTTGTATCATTTTTATTTTTACAGTGGAAAATTTATTTTTAAAGTAAAGAATACATACATATAAGATGTTTAGTAAAATTTAAGGAATTATTCCAGATAACAAGATAGAAATAAAACAAGATAAAAGTAAAAAATATTAATATTATATATGTGTTTTAACTCTTTAGATATTATATATTAAAATTAAAAATTGACAAAATTAGAATTTAGCATTAGAATGTTATATATTTGCATATTTTATATTATAAATATATAAAATTTATTTTCAGGGAGATGCTCGATGTGAAAACTAAAAAGCATAAAGTCTCTAAGAAGACAAAAAGATCATGGAGGAAGTATATTGATATCAAAGATGTAGATACATTTCTTGATAACAATAGATTAGAGGAACGATTGGGTACTCCTTTTTCTGAGCGTATAGATACTCAATTGTTTACTATTGATAAAACTGCTGATGTGACTGAAAATGTAATTTCCAAACGTGCTGCTAGATTAGCATTGAAAAATAAAGAACCAAGATGTTTTGCTTCTTTGAAGTCACATACATGTGTCCCTGATCCAATTTCTAAAAGAAACCGAGTAAGGACTAAAGAAGAACGTATGAATTCTATATTACGTCAACGTGAAGTAGGAAGGAAAGTGAAGGGTATTTTTAAATTAAAAGAGAAGGAAGCATTGAAGAATAGAATACTGGCAAAGATTGCTTCAACAAATCATCCTAAGAGCAAAGAGCTTAAAAAGGATATATGGAATAGCACAAACGTCTTAATTCCAGAAACAGTTACTGAATGGATGTCTTCGAACAGCATTAGGCATACACTGAAGCATTTAGGAATTAAAAAAAGAAAATTACCCTTATTGTGCAAAAAGCCATCTGTTTTACCTGCAGTGGAGATTCCACATCCAGGTACATCTTATAATCCGTCATATAATGATCACCAGGAATTATTGCACAATATTGTGCAAAAAGAATTGGAGCTTATGAAGCAAGATGAACATTTGAACAGGGTCACAACTCAAATGTTTGAAAAAGTAAATTATATTATCATTACTTTTTATATAAATTTATTTTATATTTTTATTATAATATAAAATTTATTTCTTTTTTTATTTACATTCAATATTGATTTAATTTTTAATCCCATTTTCAATAAATAATATTTTTACATTATTAATATAAAATATTAGCCTTGCTAATATTTCTAATTTACATATTCCTTTAATTCATATTTTATATTTTTTGAATGTGAATTTGTAATATCAAATTATTTGCTTCTTCAGATTTCATTACAGAAAAGAGATGAAAATACGATGAAAGAAATGTTAGAAGGTTTGCCAAAGAATCAAACTACATCAAGTTTTAAGTCTATTGAGGAGGATCATGAAGAAGAAAATTCATCTATCACAATAGTAAATAATAAAGCTAAAAAAAATATTAAAAAAACACTTGTTCAAAAAAGAAAACAACGAGAACAAAAACAAGCAATTAATGAACATGCATTGATGAAACTCGAGAAAAAAAAAATTTCTGATATCTATAAATTAAAGACTCTGCAAAAACAAATAGCGGCCAAGGAGAGAAAGCAAGAATCCTTGCGACAAAAGCGAATGAAGAAACGCGAGAGGGAATCTCTTATGCCAAAAACTCTGAGTAAGATAAAGTTTGAACCTATTGATTCTGATTTCCAGCTTGCAGAAGAATTGACTGGCAATTTGAGAAATTTTAAACCTTCTAACAATTTATTAAAAGAACGGTACAAATCGCTTCAACAGAGAAACATTGTCGCACCAGCCGTTATAAAATTGTAAGTATAAAGCCCAATTGACGATTTACTAAAAAATTTTTTCGACAATATTGATTTAAATTTCAGGAGTTTTTTTATCATTGAATATAAATCCTATGTAAAAATTGGCCTAGTTTTTATTGTATACTTGATACAGGCACTAACTAGTAATTTTCTATTAAATTATCTTAATTTTGGCGATATGTGTAAACATATATATGATATGTGTATTTAAATTAATCATTTTGATATTATATTTTGATATATTATTTAATAGAAAATAACTAGTTAATACACGAAACAAATGTTCGGTGTAAACTAAGTTATTAATAAATTTAAAATAATGAGTTCAATGATCGATATGTCAAGAAAAATGTTGGATTGAAAAATGTGGGATTATTACAAAAATGTCTTTTATGGTTTTTAATTTGTTAATTTTGATATTGCGCGCGTGCGCACGTGGATTAATTTACAGTTTTTTCTGCAAATAATTAAATATATTTAACTGAATGTCAATATGAACATCAATATGAACATTAATTATAATCGATATTAAAATATTCTTTTGAGAGTTGAAAATCTGAATAACATTTAACATTTAATTTTGATCAAATAAAACTTGTCGAATATGTCATATATTGTCGTTATAATACGACAAAATACATAAAAATAGTCCTTTTTGCAAATTGAATTGCAATTTTCTTAAAATTGTGACGTGATGGTGCAATTGCTGCATTTGGAAAAACATATTCCGTATTCGTATTCAATATATCTAAAAAACTATTTTAAAAAATTATTAGTTTTGTTCCAGTATTAGAAAAAAAGTAATTTTTCATCGAACAGTATTATATAGCTAAATGCTCCTAAGCGCAATCATTTATTGACTGTTTGTAAGAACTACAATATCTCAAAA